GAAGATGTGACGGGGGGTGCAGGAGACCAGAACACCTCTCTGCCCAGCAATGACGAGAGTGCCCTCTTCTCTGTCAGAGGTGGTGAGTGGGGGAGCCTGGCTTCTCCCACGTGGCAGCAATGAGGCCGTGCCTCCCTTGTCCTGCCAGGTGGCATCAGAGGAAGCCAGCTGAAACAGAAGTTTATGCTGGAGACGTTGACACCCTGCTCTGGACACGCGACAGGACACCTATAGCGATCTCTGCAAGGATAGAGTAGAACTCCACAACACCGCTAACCAGCAGGACCTACTCACTAGAACACTTAAACCAATGAAAGTAGAGTATGCAGGCTTCTTGAGTCCCAGCAGAACATGTATCAGGAAAGACCACGTGCTGGACCATAAATCAAAACTAAAGAAGTTCAGAAAGATTGGAATTCTATAGGGTGGGTTTACCTCCCACAATGCAACCAAACTAAAAATCAATACCGGAAAGAGAGCAGGCGGTTTTCCAAATACTTGGAAACTAAACAGTGCCCTTCTGTGTATTCCATGGATCAAAAAGGAAGTCTCAAGGTAATTAAAAAGATATGTTGACTCAAATGAAAATGAAAATAGTACATGTTGAATTTGTTAGACACATCTAAAACAGTGCGGAGAGGAAAACGTACATCACTAAGGGCACACGTTAGAAAAGAGGAAGGTCTCAGTCGACAATCTACACACCTACCTCAAGAACCTGGAAAAAGGAGGGCAAAATAAAACCAAAGCAAGCAAACAGAAGGCAGCAACAAGAACAGAAATCAATAAAATTGAAAAAAGTAGAGAAAATCAGTGAAACAAAGGCCTGGTTATTTGAAGATAACCAGAAAATGTCAAACCTGTAGAAAGAATGACAAAGAAGAGAAAAGACACAAACTGCAGTCTATCAGGAATAAAACAGAGTTTCACCGCAGACCGTGCAGACACCAAAAAGATGGCGGGGGATACAATGATCAGCTGTCCCAAACAACAGCGGAAATGAAATGGACCAGCTCCTCAAAAAACACAAACCACCTCAATTTACCCAATGAAATACATCACTCAATATCTCTATAACCATCAAGGAAATGAACTTAAAATTTAAATCTCCCCAAAAGGAAAGTTCCAGTCCCCAGTGGTTTCACTGGAGAATTCTACCAAATGTTTAAAAGAAAATTAACATTAAACTTACAAAATTTTATCTAGAAAATGGAAGGGAGCATGCTTCTCAACTCATTTTATGAAGCTAGTATTACCCAGTATGAAAACCAGACACAGTACACACACACACACACACACACACACAGAACTGAAGATCAGTATCCCTCATGAATGAAGATGCAAGAAGACTTTTATTTTTAGCAACTATAATTTCACAATATGTAAAAGGAATTATCCACCATGGATAATTTGGTTTTTTTTTTCTGGAAATGCAAAGCTGGTACAATAATTTGAAAAACAGTCAAGATTCATCTACCATGTTAACAAGCTAAACAAGAAAAAAAATTGCATGATCATATCAATTGATGCAGAGAAAGCATTTGATAAATTCAACATTCATTCATGATAAAAACACTCAGAAAAATAGGGTTAAAGGAGACATCCTCAATGTGATAAAGAGCATCTACAGAAATCCTACAGTTAACATAATATTTAATGGTGAAAGACTGAGTGTTTTGCTCCTAAGATCGGAAAGAAGGCAAGGATGTCTGTTCTCACCATTGTTATTAAACATAATGCTGGAAGTTCTAGCAAGTACCGTAAGATAAGAAATGAAATAAAAGGCAGATATATTGGAAAGGAAGAAATAAATCAGTCCTTTTGTAGATGGTGTGATTTTCTATGTGTAAAATCCCAAGGAATTTACTAAAAAAGAAAGGAAAAAGGAAAAAAAAGCCTCACAGAACTAATAAGTGAGTTCAGCAAGGTTACAGGATATAACATAAATGTAAAATAATCAACTGTATTTCTATATACTGGTAAAGGGCACCAAAATTAAAAATATAATAACATGTACAATCGCTCCTAAAAAATGCGGATGGGTATAAATCTAACAAACCATGTGGAGGATCTATATGCTGAAACCCGCAAAGCCATGAGGAAAGCAAGCAAAGAGCTGCATAGGAGACATGTCATGTTCATGGGTTAGAACACAGCATGGTCAATAGTCTCGCTGACAGTCAGCATTGTAATACTTCTCCCCAAAATGCCACTCAGGTTTAATGCAATTCCTATCAAAATCATAGCAAAAATTTGTTTAGATATAGAGCTATTGATAGACAACATTGCTCTAAAATTTATATGGAATAGTGAATAAATTAGAATAGTTAAAACAATTTTTTTAGAGATTTATTTATTTTGGGGGGGGTATGAGGGCAGAGGGAAACAGAGAATCTCAAGCAGACTCCCCGCTGAGCACAGAGCCCGACACAGGGCTTGATCTCACGACCCTGAGATCATGACCTGAGCCAAAACCAAGAGTCAAACACTTAACTGACTGAGCCACCCAGGGGCCCAAAACAGTTTTTATAAAGAATAATGTGGGAAGAATTCATCCATTTAATTTAATGTCTTCTTATAAAGCTTCAGTAATCAAGACAGAGGTGAGGGGATAGACACGTAGATCCATGGAACAGAGTAAAGAGGCCAGAAGCAGACTCTTCCCAATTGGTTCAAGTGATTTCAGGGAGGTGAGTGTGTCCATACTTAGTGGCATGTGGGATCTGTGCGCTCAGGTGAATGTCCTGCATCTTCATTGAATTAATGTCAATACTCTGGTTGTGGTCGTTCTGCAGGACATTACCATTGGAGGGAACTGGGTAAAGGGCCCACAGGATGCTATGTTATTTCTTACAACTGCAAGTGAATCTGCAATGATCTCAAAATCAAAAGCTTAATTCAGAAATTTTTTTTAAGATTTTATTTTTTTTTTTTGACAGAGAGAGAGACAGGAGAGAGGGAACACAAGCAGGGGGAGAGGGAGAGGGAGAAGCAGGCTTCCCGCTGAGCAGGGAGCCCGATGTGGGACTCGATCCCAGGACCCTGGGACCATGACCAGAGCCGAAGCCAGATGCCCAATGACTGAGCCACCCGGGCGCCCCCATTCAGAAATATTTTAAGGTGGTGGTAGCAGGTTATATATAGACGTAATAAATGGACATGAGTGGATATCATTTATTTAGATTCTCAAATTGCCTTTGACAAGGCCAATGTTAAACTTCATCGGCTTGAAGAAATTGTCATGGTTAAAAGACCAAATTTGGAATCAGATTCTATTTTATCTTTAAAATGAAAAAATAATTAAAAACCCTCACATAGGTGTTTGGTATGTGTGTGTATTTCTCAGCTCCACCCACTGAAAACTATAAACATTGACTGGCCCACCAATAATGTGCTGCTGTGTACCTTTTAGGGTCTGGTGGGGAGGCGTCTCTCATTTTGATTTTCCCTTCAAGTATGCAAGGACTTCTTGAGGAAATACTTCATTCCAGATTTGGGGCCAGGAAAAAAAAATTCTTTGGAACCATGTGTTAACTTTCCACTAATGCCAATTTTGTGTAACACATTCTCAGTCATTTGCATTATTATATTATGATACAATCACCAACTGTTGTGGGCAGTGTCTAAAACTTGTGTTGAGCTATGAACTCAAATCCTGTCAATACTGTGGTCATCCCTATCTTACGAGTAAGGTCAGAAGCTCTCAGACTCGGAGTGCCCTTCAGACAATAGTCTTAACACATGAGAGAGCGCTATCGTGGTTTGCCCATTATCACAGAAATAATTAAGCTCGCATGCTTCAAGATTTGTTAACTTGATAAAGTAGAAACGTGTGCTAAACGTCGTGCTTCCTACAAGCATCAAACTGCCCTAGTTGAGCATTTGCCCTTGGATGTGTGTGCGAGATGCTGGTTCCTAGGTGACTTGACCAGCAGGATTCTCCCACGAGGAAGTTCTGGACTTGAGTTTCAGTGGGAGACCTTTAGCTTTTTCTCCATGTCGCCCAGTACAGGTGCCATTCATGAGAACTTTCCAAAGCATGATCCAAAAAGCACAAGATCCAAAGCATGATCTTGTGATAATGAAAGACTCATCAGCACAAGCTTTAATGAAATGGATGGCACAATGTTTCGTGGTGTTTGGTCATAATATATCAAAATCTTTTTGTTCATTTCACCAAATATTTATCAAATGTGCCCAATGGACAGGCGTTCTGCTAGTTGCTGCAGGGAGAAGGAGTTGAACAATTTGTAGTCACTGCGCTCAAGGTATGGCAGGAATTTTACTGTGGGATTAGGAATGGCCATTACAAAATGAGGCCATAATAGAGGCAAAGACAGACTAGGAATGTTTTTAGAGAAATTCAGGTAGTCCAATATGCGTGTGTGTGTGTGGTGTCTGTGTCTATGTTTTTAACTCAGAATCATGTTTTCTTCATTTTCCCCCAATATTTTATTTTAAGTACTCTCTGCACCCAGCATGGGGCTCAAACTCACAACCGCGAGATCAAGAGTCTCGTGCTCTACCGACTGAGCCAGCCAAGCACCCCATGTTTTCTTCGTTTTAAAGACGAACTGTTTAAATGATCCAAAAGGACTCTTTCAATAAAGAGACCATTGAATTTCTTCAACTGAAATCACGCCTTCTTCCCTAGACATGATGGAATCCTCCTACCTGGTTTAGTGAGTTTTCTGGGCAGGCGAGGGTCCTCGAGAATAAAGGGGGGCTGCATGAATGTGAATCACCACCATTTTCTCTTAAACTCACAAGCAGAGGGGGACTTGGAAAATTAGAACAGGAGACATGTCCCTTGTTTGATGTGCAGAACGGGAGCACCTGGATGGGAGCTTTGAACTTGGGTGTAACGTGAACTCGAAGACATGAAACGCCTCTCTGGTGAATAATTGAAAACTTCCTCTGAATCAGATTATTCTTTAAAAGAAATAATTTTTGTGGTCATGTTTAAACATTAGTAACCGTGCCATTTTCTTTTATTATAGGTAATGTATGAAATTGTTGGAGCAATTGAAAAAAATAAAGACACCCTCTCACAGAATCTTCTATTTGTAATGAAAAGTAAGTTTTTTCCCCTATGGTTAAAATGCCACACATGCCTTCTTTCTCCATCTCTGAACACTGTCCTCTGTAATATGCCACCGGCGACAGGGGGATTGAAATATCTTTTACATTCTAAAGCCCGGAATAATAAAGAATGGATCTTGCCACACTGTACATTGGCTACAATTTAATTTGGAGTCTAGTAGAAACCATAATTTAACTAAGCTTTTAGCAGATAGAAATATAAAATACCTTTACCACTCTAGTAGTATTAACATAAAAAAGCTCCTTTGTGAAGACTAATAAAGATTAATACAGCTTCCAAAATTATTTAGGCCACAGCAGGGTGAATTTCATTACTGAAGATGAAGTCTGGAGCACACCTAAGGGTGGTATTTTATTCTTACGTACTTTCCGTTATAAAGAATTAATGCCCACGAAGTAGAGGGAGTGAACAAATTTATATATACACACACACATGCATATATGTATATATCAATGTATAGGCTCCATCTACTTAGTGAATCTTAGCCCTTTATGTACATGTATCTATTTCTATACAACATGTAACTAACTATATACTACACTTAGATATGGTGCATTTCTATGTATCAAAATGTGTACTTCTGCCTACTCTAGTCATTATTTTTTCTTTTAATTTTTAAAATTTTTTATTGTTATGTTAATCACCATACATGACATCATTAGTTCTTGATGTACTGTTCCATGATTCATTGTTTGTGCATAACACCCAGTGCTCCATGCAGAATGTGCCCTCTTTAATACCCATCACCAGGCTAACCCATCCCCCCACCCTCCTCCCCTCTAGGACCCTCAGTTTGTTTTTCAGAGTCCATCCTCTCTCATGGTTCGTCTCCCCCTCCGTCTAGTCATTATTTCTTGATAGCAATTCTGTAGACCTTGGTTCTCATTTTCCTAACAACCTTAAAGTGAATTAAAATGTATCATCTTTTGTGCTTTAAGTTGCTTGGCATGAGCTGAGTCATTTATCTTTCCTGGAAAAAAGAAGCCTATGATAGCTTTTCATGAGATAGTTGGATGCCTCCGAGCTGGAAATAAGACATCCATATCACCGCTGGCTTGAGGAACGTATTTACCTTGAATCAAGCAGCGCAGATGCGATAGATTATTTTTCATTGGGAATTACTCGGCTCGTCTCTCAGAACTTATGGTGATTGAGTTCTCTTAAAACTGAGACTGGTGGGGGGAGCATGGGATTGGAATAATATCATGTAGAAGAAAAGAACTGAAATAATTGACCCTATTGATTATCATTGGAAATATCTTCCTTCTAGTTTTCAATTATTTGACCTTCCATTTATAATGTACTGCCATCTAAGTCATACCTTTTTTGAAGATCTAATATATAGCCTGGTTTTGAAGATGATGCAACGGCTTTTTCTTTATTTTTTATTTCAGGTGATAGAATATATATTTAGAAAGAGAATGTAATGGCTAATGATATTGTGATCCTTCTTATCTTAACAGAGTCCCTATATTTTAAAGTCATTCTTTTGTGTACACTTGCTTTTAAATTCCAGGAGAACACAACTGAGTCTTGTTTCATTCTAAATACTTTTGGCGTCTGAGCAGGTGGACAAATTTACAATGCATTCGTATATGTTTATACAGGAAGTAGCAGGTGTTTTCTATAAAGGACGAGATAATAAACACTTCAGGCTTTGCAAGCCATAAGGTCTCTGTGGCAACTTCTCAACTCTGCTGTTATAATGAGAGAGCAGGTGTAGACAATACAGATGGACATGTCTGTGTTCCAATAAAACTTTATGTACAGAAATAGGCAGTGGGTCAGATTTGACCCACAGGCCACAGTTGCTAACCCATTCTGTCATATAGGAAAAAGATGCATGGTTGTGATATTATTTTATGAATTTGTGAAATGTTTTGATGCTGTAAATAGTTGTTAAAGGCTAGTGTAATTCGTATCATATGACCTCACTGATATGAGGAATTCTTAATCTCAGGAAACAAACTGAGGGTTGCTGGAGTGGTGGGGGGTGGGAGGGATGGGGTGGCTGGGGGATGGACATTGGGGAGGGTATGTGCTGTGGTGAGCGCTGTGAATTGTGTTAAGACTGATGAATCACAGACCTGTACCTCTGAAACAAAGAATACATTATATGTTAAAAAAAAAAAAAAGGAAGATAGCAGGAAGGGAAGAATGAAGGGGGGGATATCAGAGGGGGAGATGAACCATGAGAGACGATGGACTCTGAGAAACAAACTGAAGGTTCTAGAGGGGAGGGGGTGGGGGGAAGGGCTAGCGTGGTGATGGGTATTAAAGAGGGCACGTTCTGCGTGGAGCACTGGGTGTTATACGCAAACAATGAATCATGGAACACTACATCAAAAACTAATGATGTAATGTATGGTGATTACCGTAACAATAAAAAAGCTAGTGTAATTTATAGATAATATTTTTTTTAATTTTTGAATACCTTACTAGGTACTTTGTTTATAGTATCTAATTGAATCTTCATATTATCAAAAAACTCCCAGTTGAGGAAGGTGGTAGGGTCTGTTATGGGATCTGAACAAACATCCCTTTGTCCATGAGACACCTTTCCAAGTGGAGGCAGGTAGCTTGGAGACTCAGCTCATGCAGAAATGCAGTGCGTGCTCTCATCTGTGCCTGAGATGTGAAATAAAGTCTCCTTGGCTCAGAAACAGGCAACAGAGTCAAAATCTGGAGTATTAAGTCTGCTTAGAAAAATAAAAAAATTTAAGATTTACTGTCAATAATGTTAACAGCTCTTGAGTCTATTGTCTCCAAGTGCCTCTGCATACCTGCTCGTAAACTGTGCACCTAAGTTAGCTTATCCTGATGTACTGGCAGGAAGACACTCCATGCAATGTTTACAGACCCCCTGCGGGGGATGCTTCCCATTTCAACATAAACATTAACTGTTTATGTTGAAATGATTTCAAGTTTAAAGTTACAAAATTAGTACCAAGAACTCCCATATGCCCTTTTCCAGATTCATTTTCCTCATTTCCCTTCTTTTACTCTGGCTTCTCCCTCCCACTCACCCTGTCTTCCACTCCCCAGCATCCTTCCCTTTGTGTGCCCGTGGGCACGTGCATGTTCATGCATGTGTGCACATACGTGTATATGTGTGTGTGTGCATGTGCGTGCATGCGTGCGTGTGTGTGTATGACATATATTTTCTGAACTATTTGAGAGCAAGTCACAGGCATCTTTGGTATACATCCTAAGCTAAAGGACATTATCTTACAGAACATCAGCCAACTGTCAGAGTATTAAACATTGATGCGGCGCTAACATCTAGACCCGAGTTCTGCCCCTTTGCCTCTCACTCTTGCCATGTCTTTCATAATGATTTCCCCCCAATTCAGGGCCGGTCGCTGCATTTAGTTGCCATTTCTCTTCAGTCTTCTTTAATTTAGGACATTTTCTCTGCTTATCTTTTTCTTTCATGACTGACATTTTAAACTTAAAGGCCAGTTATTTTGAAGACTGTCCCTCAATCTGGATTTATTTGCTGTTTGCTCACATTGGCGTCCACACACTGCTTCTTGGCGGGAATCCCACAGAGGAGCTGGAGGGTCCTCACCCATCCCGTTCAGAGGATGTACTGACTGTTTGAAACACCATTGGTGACATAGCCTCGTTAAGGTGACCCCCGTCAGGCTTCTGTAATGGAAAGCTGCTATTTTCCTCTGTCATTGATAAGTAGCCTGTAAGGAAGATGAGGCAAGTAAATATTCTCTTCCACGTCAGACTTTAACCTGCTGGCTTGCGTACATGAATGATTCTTGCCTGAATCAACAATTTCTCTGACGGTTGCAAAATTGTGATTTTCTACCCCCCATTTTTCCATCAATTGTGACATTCAATTGTAAGAACTCCCCTTTCTCATTAATTAACTAATTAAATTATTATCAGTATGGGCTCATAGATCCCTATTTTATCGAATGAATCACAAGCTATTACTATCATTATTTTTTAAATTTTTTATTGTTATGTTA